AAACGTTAGGAAATAAAACTTCAAGAACACGGCCACACAGCCCGGAAGACCCACACCAGCCTTCTGAATACTGTTCTAGGGCAGTCCCACATACAGCACGTTGCAGTAATCCAATTGGGATATGGATATTTCCTTGTGATCCTATTTTTAATCAATCTTTAAATTGTCATTAAAATATTTGAGCTATATTTTTAAAACATTTGAAAGAGAGAGGTGCAGGAAATCCCAAGTCTGTAGGCTAGACAGGAAGTTTAAAAAAAATCATGCAAGGAGACAGTAGCAATCAGTTTCAATATTGTTTCCAAGACTTTGGTAAGGACATACCCATATAGTCACAGGAATCGTGCTCAGTTCAAGGGAATGCTTACCCTTAACCTTGGAAGCAGCATGTAAAAATAAACTACAGATACTCTGTAAACTCCAGCCCCTCTCTCTGCACATAAAATGATTTGGTCTGAAGAGACTGGAGAGGGACAAGATTTCCAGCTGGTTCTCAGTGGGTCAGATAATGACCCAGCCTCTATGCTTTATCAGCCATCTTTCAAAGTTATGCACATGTGGAAATAAACTAGAAACCCTTTTTCCTCTTGTTAGAAAGAACAAAAGAAATACTAATTAATGCAATTCATGTCTCATTTGTAAGACTTGGAGTGCCATTTTGTTTTGGGTTGTATAACTGATAACTGTTTCATATGCACACACATCATAAACACATTTTGGAGATATAATCTAGCATGCAGCTTTGCACTGATGGAGTCATTGATGGTCTTGTTGCAGGTGTGAATGCTTACCCGGCTACAGTGGAAAGCAGTGTGAAACAGATGATGATGACTGTGTGGGACACAAATGCCGCCATGGTGCGATGTGTGTAGATGCTGTAAACGGATACACCTGCATTTGTCCTCAAGGATTTAGGTAAGAATAATGTCTTGGTCTACTCTGAAGTATTTATGATCTCTGAAACCACAGCATGCGACTTCAGGATGAAGGGGATACTTTTCATCATTCAGCAGCCCTTTTGACAGTGTCTAATCACCATTGACTGAGATGGTCATTTTTGCAGGAATGTTCTTTTATGTATTCTTTTATGACTTTTGGTAAGGCAGGCACAAAATAAGTAATTAAACAATTGAAGGCACCTTAATTGTTGGCAGGCTTAATTATAGCTCTAAAGAAGGCAAAGTCGTGCCTGCCTGTCTTCTGATGTATTTGGATGCCAAGAGAAAGATGTCATTCGTATAAATGGAAGCCTTAAAGCACATTCCAAAAGGCAGAATGTGGTCTGCTTGATGAATACGTGCAGCCTTGTGCTGAAGACTTTAAACTAGAATTATGGAGTTATTCAGTAGTCTCATAAGAGTTACAATTTAAGTTAAGTTTCTTAAGCCAAGACAATGATTGAGTTCCTATAACACAATCGAGGAGCACTATACCAATTAATATTTATTTATTTAATCAATGTATATAGCCACCCATCTCACCACAGGTGACACTGGGCGGCATACAAAAAAGCTAAAAACAGTAAAATACATTAAATATATATAAAACAAAATAAAACAGGGAATAAAAGGAAGTTAAAAATAAGGGAGCCACCTCACTAATTCCCTCATCCCCTGGAGTCCCCAGGCCTGCTGGTATAACCAAGTCTTAAGGGACCCCTGGAAGCTCAACAATGATGAGGCCAGCTTCACCTCAGGGGAGAAGATTCCACAGTGCAGGCGCCACAGCAGAAAAGGCCCACTGCCTGGGGCCTGCACTGTATTTCTGCCAAATGTATTTCCCTAGGTGATGGAACCCGCAACACGTCCTCTCTGCTGGATCTGGTAAGATAGGCAGATGAAACTGGGGAGAGGTGGTCCTGAGATAGCACGGCCCCATGCCATGAAGGGCTTTAAAGGTCAACACCAGCACCTTGAACTGGACCCAGAAACAAACTGTTAACCAATGCAGCTTGCGAAGCAGAGGTGTAACATGTGTTCTAGTAAAAAAAACACATATAACTGCCTGCGTCGCTGCATTTTGCACCAGCTGAAGCTTCCAGATACTCTCCAGGGACGGCCCCATGGAAAGTGCATAGCACTAATCTAACTGGGAGGTGACCAGGGCATAAGTGACCATATGTCCCTATGATCTAGGAATGGGCATAGAAATAGAATATGGTAAAGAATTTGTAGATATTACTGAAGTTGTATATTCTTCCATTCTCTACCTCTTCCCCCATTTCCTTTCTCCTTTTTTCTCCCTTGCCCTGGGAGACAGACTTACATTCTCATTTTTTGAAGATGCTCCCTACATCCATAGTACTTCATCAGAGGTAGACAGCTTCTAAAAGGTTGGGGGCTATCATCTTCCTGACCTGTTGAAGAGCTGTAGGAAGCCATCACTGACACAGAAGGGACAAGGTCAAAAGTTTTAAACCTCTCTCTCTCCCTCTCCCCCCCCCCCCCCCCCC